GAGTAGTCGGAACGTTTTTAGGATTCCTCTGCCGTATTTGGACCCAAAATGAGTTTGAAATTCCAGCTGTTGCTCTCCCAGAGGCGACGCAAAGTGTGTGTGTACGGGTTGAATTCCAGGCTCAGACAATCTACTGATTTAGGTGGAATGTGTGTGTGCATTGGTCTGTGTACATATGTGTGTGTGTGTGTGTGCTTGTGTGAAACCCTCAGGGTTTTGGAATCAGAGACAGGAAAAACACACAAACACAGATTGGTCATCGTCTTGCAGCAGGAGAGAATGATCCCTCTCATTTCTGCTGATCATCTGTGTTTTTCTAGACCTCTCTGCCTGTTTGGTGTGTGTGTGTGTGTGTGCGCGTGCGTGCGTGCATGCATGTGATTGCGTGCGCGTGAATGCGCGTGTAACCATTTGTCCCTCTTGGGAGATGGAGCAGAGCCAGAGCAGCCTTGTGCTTCCAGGAGCCTGTTATTAAACAGGAGGTGATGCTCTGCCAGAGAAACGGGCTGCCATGAAAAACGTTACCAGGCTCCCAACAGTGAGCAGGAGTTTGAGTTTCTCCACCAAAGATCAGCCTCATTTCAACCCAGACAAATCCGACAGCGCGTCAGTCATTCTGCTAAACGGCTCTGACTCTTCTGGCACGAGACGATCTCTAATTAGAACTCGTTTGGGAGTTTTTGTCTAGCTGGCTGCCCAGAACTGGTTATTTAGTGGCTATTGAAGTAATGCAGGGTTGTTTAGAAAATCATGGAGAAGGCTGGAATTGTAATTTGGAATTTTCAAGGTTTAGCAAGTGCTTGAAAAATATAACAGAGGTCATGAAAAAGTTTTATATTTTTAAACAGAACTGCACTGTTCACGTGTGTGTCAATCATCACCAATCCAAGGTGCTGGACACCCTTAACTCACCTTAAAGCTGCTTGAATTTGATTCTGTTCAAGGTGTCTGAGCCATCAACAATGATTTGTTTTTCAGCTAATGTATGGAAAGCCAGTAAAGCCGAACAATCATTCTAATGGTCAGTTATTTTTGAATGATACACTGTAGTGTAAAGCGCTTTGGAGTCCATACTCTGAGAGGCGCTATACAAGTGCAGGTCATTTATCATTTATCAACAGAAAATCACTTATCAGGTCATGTGAGGTCTTGTTAGACTTTCATAAGCTGAATCTAAAGTCTCACATTGCCTTTAACTGTGTTCTGGCTTAATGACACTAAGCTGCAGATTTTTGATTCCCTTTGTGTTCACGTCTGTGTTTCTGCGTCTCCTCAGTTCCACAGAGATAGACGACATGATTCGCAAGTCGACAAACCTGCTGTTGACCAGAACCCTCAGCCACTGTCTGCAGTACGCCATCAAGAAGAAGAATGTTGGCCTGGCAGAGGTGTGTGTGTGTGTGTGTGTGTGTGTGTGTGCGTGTGTGTGTGTGGGCGTGCACACATGCAGGCTTCTGCAGACCTAGGTAAATCAAGTGTAGTGGAGCAGGGAAACACTAAAACATGGTGGATAGTGGCTTTCGAGGACCCCTGCTCAAGTGACTGGCTGCAGTAAAAATTCTAAGCCCCGCCCCCTCCAAGTGAAGCAATGGAGAATAGTTTTTTAGTGAAACAAAATAAATTCTCCTCAGAAATAGTTTTTAGGTGTTGACATTTGTTGATTCACACCGTTCCCGCTGTGTTGAACTGTTAACTTTTTAAACATGTTTAGTTTTAAATGGTTCATTGATGCGTAAAAACACAATGAATGAGTTCAGATGTTTAAACAAGACTCGGGCCTCAAAAATGGCCACACAACTAAACAGGCTTTGGTTGTTCATCATGGAAACAGATGTGTTTGTTTTTTTTTACACCAGCTTATCAATAATATTGGGTTTTCACCGGGTTTCACTGTAAATAATTGCTGTTAACAAACAAAAGAGCTAATGAAAGTTGGACTCGTTTTTAGATCCTGTGAAGCAATCATCTTTAAACCCTGTTTTGTGTTTTCAGTTGGTGCAGGTGATCATTAACACCACCCACCTGGAGCAGAGCTGTCACTTCCTGGAGGGGTTTATATCAAACATCACCAATGTTCCTCCTGACACTGCAAACGCCACCAAACTGTACGGGACCTCCACCTTTAAGGTGCGGACACTTGTCTCGTTTAATGGTCTGTACAAAGCAATCAAACCATCCTTTATGGTTTGATTATTATTTTTTTTTTTACAAACTTACATTTTTTCCTATTATAAAAGTTATGTTTCAGTTTTCATTTAACATCAGAATGTGTATGTCTTTGTTTTGTATCTTGGTCTCCGTCCTCTAACAGGATGCTCGTCACGCAGCAGAGGCAGAGATCTACACCAGTCTGAACGCCAAGATTGACCAGTTCCTGCAGCTGGCTGACTACGACTGGACATCAACGGCTCAGGGCAGCGGGAACATGGCGGCCAGTGACTACCTGGTTGATCTGATCACCTTCCTGAGGAGCACCTTCAGCGTCTTCACCAACCTACCTGTTAGTACACACGCACGTACACACACACACACACACACACACACACGCACGCACGCATGCGCACGCACGCACACGCGCACACACACACACACACACACACGGGGTGGGGCTTAGAACTTTTACTGCAGCCAGCCACTGGGAGGTGTTTTGGTTTTGTCTTCATTATCCGCGTTTCGTTTCTTTACATAATTGTGTACACACACACACACACACACACACACACACACACACACACACACACACACACACACACACACACACACACACACACACACACACACACACACACACACACACACACACACACACACACACACACACACACCATGCACAGAAGTATTTAGAGAATTGATACAAAATGAGTCATTAAAAGTAAATAAACATCTTTGGAAATCCACATGAAAAACATTTGATTCAGTCATCTTTTCTGAAGCAAAAAGAAAGTCTACCTACTGGACATCAACACAAACAACATCTTTGAAATTTTAATAATTTGATGGGTTTCATATAAAATGAAACATTAAAAGGACTTAAGAGAAATCCAGTATATGTCAAGACTGAAGAAATAAAACTACAGTTCTTTACCTCACTTTTTTTTTTGTTCTCACACACATACAGTATCTACGTGGCCCAAAAGTCTAAAACAATGCTAATACAACAATACGTCGACTGCTCAAATGGGACTAAAAGAAATACTCAAATTTAACGCCATAAAACAAAACAGAACTTATGCCAAAAGAGAAGATATGCTAATATAATTTTGCCAAAAATGTTGGTAAATAAGACTGAACAGCATCTGAGTCCTGGTCATTTCACTCCCAACAACACCAGATGACCATACACCATATCCCATGTTCATCAATAATAATAATAATAATAATACTAATAATAATAATATCAACACAAGTCCTCTTTACAGCAATAAAACAAGCAACAAAGAAACCAAGTTAAACAGCAAAAAACACAGAAATTTATAAACTAGTACAATCAGTACAGTTGGAAAAGGAGTCACTAGCAATAGGCAGTCCGATAGAGGTGGGTTTTGAGTCTAGATTTAAGGTGGAGAGCGAGTCAGCGTTACAGATGTATGAAGGGAGAGAACTCCAGAGACAAGGAGCTCTGCTCCCCATTAGGGCCATGCGATCTGACGATATAAGATTGTTAAGGATTATAAAGTGGTGACGATCTACCAAAGCTCTGAGATCATAGAACAGTCTATTTGCGTTCACCTGTGCCATTATTTCTGGACGTGTCTACGGGCACACATTTTTGTCAGTGGAGTCACCCTATTTTCTAGTCTGCTTCTGTCGGCATGACAGACACACCAATAAACCAATCAGAGCAAGTTTAAGGCAGAGTGTTGGTTGGTTTAGCTGGGGTGCTTGGTAGAGCTGAGGGAAAAAATAAAATAACGAGTTAAGATGCAGACATAAATGATTATGAATCTTTAAAGCAGCACACCATAATCGATTATAGCAGCTAACCGCTAGCATTAGCCGCTAGCCTGCTCCCTAACCTTGACCCCAAACCCACACTGCTACGGCCACAGCCACTGTGGCTACAGGCACAGCCAATGAGCTATGAGCATAGCTGTTGACTGCTATGGGCACAGCCAATGTGCTATAGGAAGAGCACCGCACAGCCACGTTAGCATAATATGACAGAGCATGAGTTCAAAGTACACCAAAGACATTCATTAAATATCAAATATGAACAAAGTTTCAAATATGAACAAAGTTTTTAAAGGGACTTTACGGACTTTTGAATTTTTATCCTCGCGATTGCCCCCTCAGGCCAAAAGCGTAACAGCAGCTTCAATAGTAGGCTCGTGCACGAGGCGCGCATGCTGTACGTGCACACTCAACGAAAATAACAGCTGAGATAGTCCCTTGTGTGTGTGTGTGTGTGTGGCCCAGAGGACAGAGGACAGGAGAACGCGCAGCTAATTAAATTATTTGGTTCTGTACCTTTCTCTTCAGCACAGCCGACAAAGGTTTAAGATGGGTCAGTCCTCCTTCATGCTCAGATCATTCCCTTCCCTTGCTTGAAACATTGTTCCAAAATGAAAGTTGAACCCACATCTTTTTTATCTGTGAATTCAATGCCGTTCGGCAAGTCTCAAATAAAAATTTGGGCATCTTACTGTAAAAAAATTATCATTAATGTAAAAAGAAACTCTAAATGAACTATGTTCACATCCAGAATCGAACCCAGGTCTTCTGCATGAGAGTCAGACATCTTACAAGGTGAGCTACACTCCAGTAACATTTATATTATCTGTAACATTTATATCCTTGATGACACCTGAAACAACGTCAAACCAAAGAATGGTTCGAAGCGAAAATGGCTATTTTGTTGCTAATTTGCAGGAAATATCTAGAAGAAAGTTCTACAGGTAGTAGCTAAGGGTCCTCAGAAATGTAGCTAGGTTCGTCACTAGGCGTTAGGAACAGCAACAAAGTCACTGAGTTGGCACTACCTCTCTCTCTGCTGCTAAAGCTACTGATAGCAAATGCTACGGGCTATGCCTGAGCGTGAACTCGCATGAAGCAGCCTGCTCGACCCGAGCAGCTCTCTTTTTCTGTGATTTTACAGAAAAACAGGCAATCACAGTAAAAATGCCAGGGCTCATTCTACAGGACCAGGTCAGCTGTGGCTACATCGTAACTCATCACCATCAGTTTGTGAATGTGTGTGAATGGATGAATGATACACTGTATTGTAAAGCGCTTTGGAGTCCTTATTCTGAGAGGCGCGATACAAGTGCGGGTCATTTATCATTTATCATTTATCAAGTCTGGGCCTCTCGACTTAGGCTTCTGCCCCCGCGACCCGACTCCGGATAAGCGGATGAAAATGGATGGATGGATGGATAAATATATAAATATATAATTGACTATAAGTGCCTGTGGGACATTTGAGACATGCTTCTCTAGTTCTCAACTGTGATTAGATAGATAGATGGGTGGATGGATAAATGGATAGATGGATAGACAGATATTGGAAAGAAATGTTTAGGATTCTGAAATCTTAGGTGTGGTTTTAGATTTATGTATTTTATGAGTAAATAACTTCCAAAATGTCTGAATTGTCAAAATTGAAAAAAAAATCGTGATGATTTTTTTTCCCATATCGCCCACCCTACTCCCCAAAGCCTTACAGTGCAAAGCTTGTTATTGCTTTTGCACAGCAAGTATTTGTTTGAGCCATTTGTTTCAGTTTGTTCTGCCTCCTCATTAAATCGGTATTAGATGTTTGCCGTCAAACACGACTTGGATTACATCCTCATAACTCCCACAAAAATCACTGCAGACCCACAGAAACATACCCACATGACTATCTAAGGCCTAGTCCACACGTAGCCGGGTTTTAAAAAAAAACGAATATCCGCCCCTCCAAAAACTTGCATCCACACCACCTCGTTTAAAAAAAAAACTGTCCACACGTACCCGGATAAATACGTTGTTAAGGACATGCCAGACCTGTTGGCGGCAGTACTTCCCCCGTTCTTAACCTCGTCCTTCGTCTGTGGTCTTCCGCAAGGAGCAGTAATTCTGCTTGCAAAAACAAACAAGCAAAAACAAACGAGCAAAAAGCGCTTGGACAATTGATAACGCGAGTGCAGCTCTGAGGGCATCCATGCTGTCGGCTAGTGTAAACACAGGTCGCACACGTGATGTCAGCATTTTTTTGTCGCGGAAAGTGACGTTGCGAACCTTAAAACTCCGGTTTTGTCTGTCCACACGCAGACACCCAAAATGGAGAAAACGCAGATCCTCACTTTGGCTGGAGTTTTTAAACAGATCCGTTTTCGTGTGAAAAAACTCCGTTTTCGTGTGGATGACAGGCCAAAACGTAGAAAAATATCTACGTTTTGGCAGATCCCCGGCTACGTGTGGACAGGGCCTAAACCTCCAGTCGCTCATGGATTTGAATTAGTCGAGATAGCCCTTGTAGCTTTGGCATCGTGATCGTGTTTCGCTTGTCCTGATGGCACAGCCTTTATCAACCGGTTGCTGCCCACAAGGCGGGAAAATGCAGCTCTCTGATTGGCTAAGACTTTCCACACTTCAGCTGCTTTAGTCTATGATAAATGAAGCTGCTTATGGCAGGTCCCATCATGTTTTCTTTGCAAATTTTCAAATTAGATTTTAATGTTTGCTTTTATATTAATTAAAATTATTTAAAAATCATCATAACTCCAGATAAACTTTAAACTTTCATAGATTTTTTATTGCAGCAGGGTTTCAGGGTTAACTTGAACAAAAAATGTAGAAAATCTAACTTAATGATGAAACTAGCACTATCTAAAACAGCCAAAAGGTGGCAGCGCTGTTTACAAAATTAAAACCAAATCAATCCAATTAAAATAAGTCGGTACATCAGGTGCAGACTCTATCATGTCTAGAAATGATGGACAGTTTGTTCATAGTTCAACATTTGTAGGCAGTGGTTTGTTTTAAGTCCCTACCTGGGAGTGGAACAAAGTGTAAGTGGTCCACATTTAGTTTTGTATTTTTGGACCAGACCCCCAACTGTCACCACTGTGTTTGTTCTAAAGAAAACAAACCAATAAAAAAACTGTTCTGAGAGGTCCATCAAGGTTCCTGGAACTGTTGGGGTTGAAAGTGCTTCACCATGTCAGCATGATGCATCAGAGGTAGGGACAATCAGCTTTAGTTCGTTAGTATCAGCTGGTTACGGGTCAGGCCGTTAATAAGAGACCTGCTAAGCTCATTAAAAGGTGAGCCGGTCAGGTCAGCAGAACCAGATTGGACTCTGGATCAGGATATGGACACTAAAGCTCCGACTGTAAGAACCTTAACGCTCAGCCAGGATGCTGAAGAGCAACATTCACACAGCTCGTGTCCGGGTGGACAGGAAAATAAGCCAATCCTATTAATTATTTCACCATTTCTCTTTAAGCAACTTAAGAACATGCAGCAGCTCTCTGGATAAAATACCTCCGATTTCAGCAGACTTCAGGAGATGACTGCGGT